CTGAGACAAATTTGATGGTAAAAGATTACATTTCAGAAGAAGTACCTAAATTTAGTCTTTCCTACTTCCTCTGTAGGGGAGGGAGGCTCTCAGCCAACACACTTGGTCTCTGGAGCACTTCTGACTTAGAATCTAGGGCCCCAAATCCCAATTCATAGGGAGTATAGAAATATTTCCAACTATGATGTACGTAGTGATGACGTCTCGAACAGAAAGAGACTTAAAAGAGTGCACAAGTTTACAACCAAAGTGGGATATTTAAAAATAACTCCTCCAGTGAGTGGGAAAAAAAACTCCCCAAAACCCACAACTGTTTTTCAAATAGCTTTATTTTCTTCCTCTCTCAAAAGTGAATTTCCCCCCTTTTTCATGGATTCATTTCTGTATACTTCTATGAGGGCTGGAGCGATAGCACAGCGGTAGGGCGTTTGCCTTGCATGCAGCCAGCCCGGCCAAGCTGGGTCAAGCTGGGTTCGATTCTTCCGCCCCTCTCGGAGAGTCTGGCAAGCCACCGAGAGTACCTCGCCCGCACGGCAAAGCCTGGCAAGCTCCCCGTGATGTATTCGATATGCCAAACACAGTAACAAGAAGTCTCAAAATGGAGATGTTACTGGGCCTGCTTGAGCAAATCGATGAACAATACTTCTATGAACCAATTATGCTATACAAACTTTTAACTGACATGATTAGTAAACTGATAAACATACCATACAAAAATTTTATTATATCTGAGATACATGTCCAAAAATAAAAGCATCTTATTCCCCCCAGTGTTTTCATGTTGTAAATGGGCAAAATCTACCTAAATTTTTTCTTTTCCTTTTCAGCTTTTGGGCCATATCTGGTGTTGCTCAAGGTTTATACGCTTGGCTCTGTGCTCAGGGATTGATCCTAACAGGGCCAGGTGACCATACCTGAGTGAGCTGAGTTCAAAGCAAAAGCCCTACCCACTGCACTATCTTTTGGGCTCATAAGTGAAATTAATATCAAATGAAAAACAGACACAATGTTGGTTTTTTACTACATGTGAAAATTGCTACCCAGGACCAGAGAGGTCCTATAGGGTTTCTGGCACTTGCCTGCATGTGGCCGACCCTGGTTATATCCCTAGCACTGACATGGTTCTCAGATCACAGACAAGAATGATCCTTGAGCGCAGAGCCAGGAGTATGCGCCGGGGACTGCCAGGTGTGATGCAAAAGCAAACAAAAATTTCCTCGGTATCCAAATTCAATCTCATTTATGTTTCTAATATTAAATTGCTGGTGTCACTATGAGATTACTTTGTTTAAAATGTCTGTTTCCAAAATGCGAATGCTATGCACAGTTGGGCTAAAGGTTGAGGCGCAGTGCAATGAATGAATAAACCCCAGAAGATTAATAAATCAAGCAACATTAAAAGTAGTGAAAAATCAAGTTCAAAGTGGCAGAGGTTCTGGGCCAAACAGATAACTCATAGAGGATTTGTATTAAGAATATACTAGAGCGTTTCTTTCTTAAATCTAAAAAATTTTTATTTATTGCTTTGGCTGCCAGGCTGGAGCGATAGCACAGCGGGTAGGGCGTTTGCTTTGCACGCGGCTGACCCGAGTTCAATTCCTCCGCCCCTCTCGAAGAGCTTGGCAAGCTACTGAGAGTATCTCACTCACACGGCAAAGCCTGGCAAGCTCCCCGTGACGTACTCGATATGCCAAACACAGTAACAACAAGTCTCACAATGTCACTGGGCCCACTCGAGCAAATCGATGAACAATGGGAGGACAGTGACAGTGACAGTGCTTTGGCTGCGCAAGCAGTGCCCAGGAGGTTAAGCCCTCCCTTGATTCAAAGCTGGAGCCCGAGGATGTGGGGCTACTCTGTACCCCCCGCCCCTCGGTGCTCAGGGTTCTCCAGGGCTGGAAGACCTGTGATGCTCAGGGACACTGCAGTGCTGGGCAAACCAGGCTCAGCCGCAGGGCAATGGCTTCATTAAAAAAAACCTGCTTGAGGAGAACTGTGTAAAGGAAATGTCATCTTTTAGAACTATTTGCTCGATGACAGTTCACACCGAACCGAGTAGTCCAGGGCCTGTGTGCCGCTCTAGTCTTTGGGTTGAATGAGCACTCAACGGCAGACACACGTTAACGAGCACTCAAACGCAGACACTCGTTATTTCTGTTCCTCCCCGACCGGCAGATCCTTCATTTTTACATTCACGGCTATTTTAAAGAGCCCTCTCTCCCTGCTCCAAGTCTGCCTCTTATTTCTGGAAGATACTACGGGGAGATTAAAAACTAGTCAAAAGGCTGTGGGGCTGGGCCATCGGTGGGCTCCAACTTGCTTTCTTGTCACCTCAGGGCTACGATGCAGGCAAGAAGCTCTGATTTCACCTCAAGAGGAGGACAGTTAAGGAGAAGCAAATGAGCAACGAATTAATAAGCTCATTCTAAACAAGCACAAAGTACTAAAATGGTCGATGTTTAGTCCCCTGACTATTCTGTTTCCAATAACTGAAACTCAAAGATCAGCTCTGAAGAACCACAATAATGGGACCCAAGGTTGGAGACCTGTTGGTTCAAAGGAGGGGTTGGTCTAAGGGGTTGGTTCAAAAGTTGGTTCAAAGGAGGGGTTGGGTCCAAGGAATGATTTCTTTAAAAACCATTCTTTTAAAAAAGGATTCAAGAAAGGAATGAAGGAGAAAAGGGCCTAATTTTCTTTTCTTTCTTTCATTTTTTTTTTCTTTTTGGGTCACACCCGGCGATGCACAGGAGTTACTCCTGTCTCATGCACTCAGGAACTCCTCCTGGCAGTGCTTGGGGGACCATATGGGATGCTGGGAATTGAACCCGGGTCAGCCACATGCAAGGCAAATGCCCTACCTGCTGTGCTATCACTCCAGCCCCAAGGGCCTAAATGTTTTGTGACTAGATAGAGCTTTAGTCTTTTTCCTTTCCCTCTTCTTGTCTCTGGGCTCTGCTTGAGAGAGGCTGAGGGGTTACCCCCAGTTTGGGGCTTTCCAGTCAAACCTGGGGTGCTGGGGATGGAACTGGGGCGTCCTGTGTGCAAAATCTGGGCAGCAACCCTATTAGCTCTATCCTCAGCCCGGGAGCTTAGTCCGTCTGAGAAAGTCTCTCTGTAGGAGTCTTCAGAGTCACGAGATGGAAAATGAATAAACATGAACAATGATAAAGAGAAAAAGGTGAGGGTTTGGTTTAGATACATACTGACACATTAAAATATGTTATGGGGCGCATTATGTTGGGCGTGACGATGCAACGTGTGCTTGGAGGGGTCACAGCCAGACATGGCTGTGCTGGAGTGTTATCAAGGCCATCTACAGGCCCACTCAGCCCTGGCTGGAGCTCTCCTCACACTCTCTGAGAAGGCATTTCATTCTTTTGCAGCTGAAAAAACTGATGCCCCCGATTCTAGCAAGAGTGAAGTCGAGATAGAGTGCCATATATTTCTGAAAATGAATGTTTGAAATATTGGAGGTGAAGGAATGGTCTGAAACATTCCCCTCCCCTGAGCTGCCTTTGCTTGTCATCTCGAATGCGCTTTCCCCAGGACCCCAGGCAAAGGGGATGCTGATGGTACCCACCCCTAGATTTCTCTCAAAAATACATACCCCAGGGAAGTAATAACAAAGTCAGCTTTGGATTCAAGTTTGGACACAAATTTCTGAATCAAGAACAAAACACGACCTCTGGGGTTTGTTTCAGTGTTCTCTCGCCAAAAACTGGAGAAAGTGGACTATTAGAACTCAGAAATCCAATATATATATGAAAAAAAAAATACACTGGAAATGGAGGGCAGGGGCTGGGAGTAACAGAAAGGGAGAAGATGGGGAGGGAAGAGGAGAGGAGGAGAGGAGATGATTGAATATAAATATCCATACTGGAAGGAAAACATTTTATAGAAAGCCAGAATTATTATGTATCTAAAAACGTACAGCATTGAAGTATGCCAAATATTTCCAGAGGCTACCTCTTATTTTTCATTTGCTTTTAACTTGATTTTTTTTTTGTTTGGTTTTTGAGCCACACCCAGCAGTGTTCAGGGCTTACTCCTGGCTCTGTGCTCAAGGATCACTCTTGGTGGGCTCGGGGATCATACTGAACCCAAGTTGGCTGCATGCAAGGCAAGTGCCCTCCCGCTATACCACTGCTCCAGCTGACTCGCTCTTATTCTAAGCCATGACTTCTAAGCCTCTTTGCTTTCCACCAGTAAGAAGGCTCTTTAGTAGGTTCTGACAGCGGTCTTTCTGCCATCCCTGACTCCTGACAGCTGTGTAGAGCATCTCCTCCACTTCTGGGATGCGTGCACACCACAATTCAGTTCAAAGTCAGCTTCCTATGGCCCGTGAGCCTCCACCTGAACAAACACTGATGCATCACTGGGCCTCTTGCAGCCTCAACATCTGCTCCAACCTACTGGGTCTTCACTGATAGAGAAAGTCCAGGCCTGGGCCATGTCCCCACCTGGGTGTGCCCTGGACACTTCTCAACCACTCACTCTGAGCAGAGACAAAATGAAAATGACCCACAGAACTCTGTGAGGGCAGAAAGGCCTCAGTCCCCTCCCCACCAACTCCCACCCCGAGACCTTCACAACAAATTGAGTCACACAGTGAGCGCAGAATCACTCACATTTGCCAAGCCCGTTTCAGGGACCCACTAACAAAATAAACCAAAAAAATAAAAAAAAGGAGGAGGACTGAAGCCTCCAATGCTCCTGACTCAATTCTGCACCATCAGGGCCATAAACGCATCTGAGAACTCATCCAGAAAGTTCACAGTATCTGCATTCTCAGAACCTCTGCACGGCGTTCAGAGCCACAAATACAGTTTAGATCAGAGAACCCCAATGCTTTCTGTTAGGGTAGTTTGGGAGATAAAAAAAAAAAATAACTCACCAACATCTAAAAAGCTATGAAAGTCAGTTTCCCCCAGACCCTATATCCGATATGTTTTCATTTATTTGTATGTGGTACCAAAATGATTCGTGCAGAGACCACGCACCTCATTGTCAGACTCGACGAGCACTTGGTCGTATTCACTGAGGGCGACTAGGAACATGATGGAGGTGACATTCTCAAAGCAGTGGATCCATTTTCTCCTCTCGGACCGCTGGCCCCCGACGTCGACCATTCTGCAAGGTGAACAATACTCATATTAATGCACAAACAGAAGAAAATCAGTATAAATGATTTTACTTAAAAAAAAACAACTAAACTGTCTGAAGAGAAAATGCAGTGAGTTCTTAAGGAACATCTCCTTCGCTTTTTAACAATCAAAGCCAAGAAATTCTGGGTAGTAAATCACTGCCGTCATTTGAAAGTTTCTAAATGTATATGAAAAGTAAAATCTTGCTTAAAAGAAAGCAAGTCCTGCGCCAAGCCAAGCAAACTAGTGTTTTATTTCATCAAGCATTGAAGAGTCAGAAACAGTTTTCTGTAAGATGTAATAGGAAATACTGACTTTTCCTTTATTCCTCCTGCAATACAGAAATGAAGAGACTAGGATTTGTTTTCAAGGATGCTGGAAGAGGCTGCCTATAAATTTAGTTATTTTGTTTGTTTTTGTTTGGGGGCCCATCTAGTGGTGCTCAGAGCTTGTGCCTGGAGACTGTCTGGAGTGCAGGGATGGAACCCAGGTAGGCACCCTGCAACAACAGCACGTGCCTGCTGGACCATCTCTCCAGTCTGCCTACACATTAACCATAAGTGAAAGATATACTTTCAAGAAGAGGGTGTGATGCTTACAGGAAATGTAAGCACAACTTTACGACATCGGCAGTATAACTATAGCCATTGTCCCCTTGCAATGAGTGCGATACCTTAAGACAGGTATGTCCACACTAAGCAACATGGGTCAGCTGCATCAATTCAAACCACAACCCCACCTTGCCAATGTGCCTTGTATGGCAATTAAAACATCACAATGGCACAAAGACCAACACTTGACACTCTTCAAGGATTGATTTTTAACATCCAACTCCATCCTGAGTTGAGGAACTTATTCTGCCATCAATTAATCTGATCAGTAATATATATTATCTTGATATATAATGAAATAAGAAGCTGACTAGCAGTACTTGGTGTGAAATTTAATTCTTTAATTGTTGAATTCAAATTTCAACTAAAATGTGAGCCACGGCAACAGGGTAAATTTCACACACTGACAGTTTTAGGTATAAACACTTAATAGGTTTCTTTATGTGTTGGTTGAAAACTCGGTTTGTCCTAGTGTTTTCCTGCCACTAAATGCTAAAATTAAACTTGAGGATTTTCCAGTGACAGCTTCTAAAAGTTTAAGACATGGAAGGGATATCTGAGGGGTTAAAACAAATGATCTAGCAAGACCGATACACTACGGACTAAAACTAGAACTCATAAGTCTTTATGTAGATGTTAAAATGCTTGCTCTCCCTGATGACTAAAGTCACTTGTAAGCCACTCATATACACGAAATCCTCATTCTAAGACATAAGAAAGGCTAAACCCTGTAAGCTGCTTTTCATTGTGGCACGAAAGTTTTCTGAAGTCTTACTTCTATTATAATGATGAAATATGCCTTCTAAAAGTGCTAGTACACAGAGCACGGTAGAAAAAAAAATATTGCAACCTCCTTTCAAAATTCACTAATTACAAAGCAATTAGGAGACGAAACGCTCCATGAACTGCTGCATTTTGTAATACAGGGCACCAGAGCTACAAAGAACCTTGGTGACCACCCAATGCAACTGTTTAATGGGAGAAAAAGCCAAGTCTCAGAAATCTTTCTAACCTTGATGGGTTCATTCACTTGATGGGCATGTCTAATAGAATGCATATGGTGGCAATCAGCTACAGAGCAGGAACTGGCGAGAAGCAAGCACTGAGCCATGGCAGGGAGTGACGAGACCCCCTCATCAGAAACAGTGGCTGCACAGGACACAGAGACTTGGCTCCTCAGCCCTGACTGCACAAAGATGCTTGGTGGGAGTGACGAGTTCTCCCTAGGAACTCAGCTCCAGACACTCAAAAATGGACTCACACTGAGGGCTGGAGCCATAGCACAGCGAGTAGGGCATTTGCCTTGCACGCAGCCAACCCGGGTCTGATTTCCAGCATCCCATATGGTCCCCTGAGCACCACCAGGAGTAATTCCTGAGTGCATGAGCCAGGAGTGACCCCTATGCATCGCCGGGCGTGACCCCCTCCCCCCCAAAAAAAAAACAGACTCACACTAAGCCCTGGTATGCGGCCAGCTGGGTTGGATCCCTGAGCTATACCAGGAGGAAGCTCTGCCCGGGTAAGACCCAACACCTACGTATGTGTACATATATCACACTCACATACTTGCAGGGCTTTAGGTCCCAAAGCACCATATGGACCGTACTCTAAGAATACAACTGTGGGATTGTACAATGAAGTTTAAATAAAAGCACATCCAGGTTATTATTATTATTCTCTATCTAAAGAGAGAATAACTGCTAGAGTGATAGTACAATAGGCATGGCACTTGCCTTGCAAGTGGGTGACCCAGATTTGATCCCTGGCATCCCATATGGTCCCCTGAGTACAGGCAAGAGTGATCTCTGAGCACAGAGCAGCAGTAAGCCCTGAGTATAGCTGGGTGTGCCCCACCCCCCAATCAAAACTAAACCAAAAATAAAAGAGAAAGAGAAAGAAAAGAAAAATACATCTACTGAAGCATTATACAGCTAGAATAACAGTAGTGAGGAAGCAGAAAATCTTCATTCTATTTCCTTATGTCTATTTAGAATAGGTTAATCAATCCATTTTCAAAACCCTGTATTTAATTTTTTCCAACTTTGAGAAATACGTAACATTCAGTATTTTTATTCTACTGGAAAATTATGTATTGATACCAGGAAAAAAGCAAGCAAGTTTCTAAAAACATATAATTTCTACTATTTCTGGTGTCACACAATCCTTCACATTTCATACAAATCTGAAACTATGTCCATCATGCTCAGAGTTAACGCAACTCCAGATACTGTCAAACCAGTGTTTAAATAAGTGATTTTGCTCAACCACCAGTGAAGTACCACCAGCATACTACAGTTTCATTGTTCTGAAGAGAAAACACTCTTCCATCCTTACTCTGCCTACTCCACTTGCGTACTCGATAATAAAAATTGGTGTGAAGCTGATGCTGCTTAAAAATTTACATGATCTCGATATTCATAGCTGACCAGGCCTACTTAGGGTGTAAGCACTGTTTCTAAGTGATCACTCAGGCTGGAGTGATAGCACAGTGGGTAGGGCGTTTGCCTTGCACGCAGCCGACCGGGGCAACCCAGGTTTGATTCCTCCGCCCCTCTTGGGGTAGCCCAGCAAGCTACTGAGAGTATCTTGCCCGCACGGCAAAGCCTGGCAAGCTACCCGTGACATATCCGATATGTCAAACACAGTGACAATAAGTCTCACAATGGAGACGTTAATGGGCCCGCTCGAGCAAATCAATGAACAACGGGAGGACAGTGCTACAGTGCTACACATGCACTCAGTGACTACTACCTGAAAATGACACTTTGTAAGTCAAAGGGGTATTCGATGATGCCCGTGGTGGGGACTCGAACTCGAAGCACATCCTGTTGTGTAGGCAGGTAGGTCGGATCAGCAACTCGGTCCAAGTCGTTCAGATAGCTGCAGGGAAGAGGAGACACACAGGAAAGTCAGAGACACACTGCACTTAACTTGCATACCTGACTCTGATTTCCTGAGATTTTGTACAAACATTATGGGGGAGTAACGGTCTCATTCCCCTGACCCTGAAAGAGCCCCCAATACGGCAGCATTGGGAAAGATGAGTAAGGAGAGGCTGCTAAAATCTCGGGGCTGGGATGAATGGAGACGTTACTGGCACCTGCTTCAGTAAATCAATAAACAACGGGATGATAGTGATACAGTGATATGGTGATGGGTCTATGATTTCTTATCATATGTGGAGGGCCAGGCAACCATGACCAGAATGAGAATACAGGAATACAGGCAGGTTTTTTTTTTCTTATCAGCACAAAGAAACTGTCCTGCACCACCTCTCTGAAGCCTAATCCTTGTCAATCATACATCTCTTCTCTATCAGTATGATTATGTCATTTCACAAATGCTGCACCGTATTCATTTTTCTTGTGCTTCCAAATGCAAGAAGTAATTTGCAACATTTGGGAATGATGTTATTTCATATAACTGGCAGAAGTGACTATTCTGTGCACCAGCCTTATAATTTCTAAGAATTCCCTATGAGAGGCTCGTGCACAGATACAGTGCTGAAACATAAAACTACAGTGTGTATATGTAGAGTAAAAATAATGTGTGAAAAGGATGTAAGAAAAAGATGGAATCGTGAACAGGGTCCAAAGTAGGATAACAATGGATTTGTCCTGTCTCCCTTGCTACAAGGAGCTTAAGTTTATCAGGTTACACCCATCACAGTGCTCCCAAGTCACTCCCATTCCTTTCTTTATCTGTAACCACTTCTCTATGCTCTCCTCCCCAACCAGTTAATCAGCTTTTACCCCTAAACAGACTCTGTTAACTTGTAAGGTCAGATTCCTCAGAAATCTATGATTTTATATGTATGAGTGAAATATTATCTTTCTCCTCTCTTTATGTCTTACGAGTAGTTTACTTTAAAGCAATGTCCTTTTTGTATAGATACAGGAAGACAGTCAATATTATGCTTTTGTAACTTAGGATTTAATTGGCTTTGAATATTATTCACTCTCAGGCATCTGCTTTCTCGACTTAAGTCTCAGTTGCCTTTAGTTCCTAGCACCTCAAAAGCAGGGTCCTGAGGAGGGAGTGAATGGACCCAGGGCAAGCTATGAGCTGCCCTGGCATCGAAATGGGCCCGGCCAAGATTCTTAAATATAAGTTAAGAGCTGGATCATGGACAGATGCTGTTATGATTCAAAAGTATTGACAAGACTAGGATCCTGCTAGGGATAGGAAAGACTATCTGGCCTGGGCACTGTAGTCTGAGACCGAGATGGCCCTAGGAGAGCAATTCTATAAGCTTAATGCATTTCTTACTGTGTCCATACAAAATGATTAATATTATGAATGCTTGTATGTTTGTTGGACAAGGAGAGGAGAAACACACCCATGGGATTCCGCTCTAGGGTGGGTCATCCTGCTGAGAGATTTGTCCCAGAAGAAGTATCCCCTGAGGGAAAGAACTTTAACCCTATTGATTGTGACCACACCTATGTGTAAGCCCCAACCCCTCGTGGTTTTGGGGATTTAACTAGACTGTAAGAGTGGGCTGGGGGATCCAGATCCAGATTCCAGAGCCAGAAGGAGAATGAAGGGGGACTGAGGAGGAGAATGAAGTAGCATGGGGGAGGAAGAAGCAGGAGGAGAATCAGAGGAGAATGAAGAGAGGATTGGAATAAGCTGCAACTAAGACCCACCAGCCTGGCCCTCGTTTCCTTCTTTCTTTTGGCCTGCCCACCAATGGGCCTGCCCATCCCCATCAACCTCCCTGGGGTGGGGGAAGCGGCTTGAGACTACCAAATGCGGGTGGTGGGATAGACAGTTGCTGCCTTTCTATGTTTACACAATGGAAGGCATCAGATTCTTGATCTTTATGTCCACAAGTCAGGCAGGGAGTACTAAGACAGGGACCAGAAAATGCCCAGTATAAGCCTGGTGAAACTCAGCAAATCACAGACTTAGCTGACACCGGCCTTGGATAAGCACTTTGCCTTGCCCTTCATCACTCCTGCCTCGGTACTTCCATATTATTTGTTGGATGTTGGATTTCCCATGCTGAAATTTGGTTTTGGCATTTATGTGAATATCATTCGGACTAAGCAGTATTTCCATATTAATGATATTATATTTAAAACTAAATGTGGAAAACAATTTTAACATTGTCTTCTAGTTTCCTGGAATAACAAATCTGATTGGAACAAGGAAATGATATTATTGGGTTTTTGTTTGTTTTGTTTTGGGGCCGTACCCTGCAGTGCTCAGGGTTTACTTCTGGCCCTATGTTTAGGCCGGCTCAGGGGACCATATGGAATGCCAGGATCAAATACTTACCCGCTGTATTACTGTCCTGACCCTGGGAAATGATATTATTGCCCCTTTGAGGCATATTGATACTTCAAGACAAAAAAAAAAGTTATCTCCCTGGGCCTTCCTCCCGCACAGCAGTAAGTGCTCACACCAAACACATCAGCGTAGGTTGAGTTGGCAATAAACTGACTGTTGACTTGTATAAGTCTTTCAATATCTCTATTATATGAGACTATTATAGGGGACTGAGGGAAACGGTGCCTATGAGACTATGGACATGACAGACAGAAAACGCAAACACGCCTCTGAAAAACTCAAACATCTATTGGAAATCCACAAGACCATCCTCACCATTTAAGGACCCGACACAAACCCTGAATTCAGATCAGAGGCTCAAGAGAACTTCTGAGCCCACCAGGAAGCTAGCTCAGACACTTGCTCCAACTCCATGCCAAGGGAGGGGGAGCACAGAGGGTTGAGAATGCATGTGCCTGCGGAGCCCTGCGGGAGAGCTGACCAGGTTTGTTTTATGGGGACGAACAAATAATGCAGCAGTGGTTCTCACTCCGTTTGCCCAGGAGACTTTCAAGAACCCGCACCGGAAGTGGGTAATCACCATCACGATGCACGTCAGAAACTTCCTCGTCTCTTTTCGAGTTAGAAGGCAGACAGAGCACCCTGAACACATGGCAGGGTGAGACGGAGGCAGAGCATGCATGCATGCATGCGCGCACACACACACACACACACACACACACACACACACACACACACACACACACGTGTCTCTGAAAGGACTCTCAGAGCCTTTGCTCTACTGTGTTGTCAGTGACTGCTTTCCATGAATGCAGGTGTATCAACGGACTGACTGGAGCATCCCTGCATGCAGGAAGACTGTCCTCAGAATGCCCTTTGCTCCTGTTAATGTCCCCATAGATCATAGAGCCTAAGGGCTCCATCACTGCTACTCAGTGCCACCTGCTTGCTGGGCACTGCAGTCTGCCCCTGGTTCCCGGGATGGCCATAATCATGGCAGAGAGCCATTCCTGATAAGGCTTCAGGGCTTGGCCTTAGTGGAATGGCGCAGAAAGGCTCTCTGCACTCGCTTCAAGGGGAAAGAAAAAAAAAACCTAACAGGAGCCGCTTCAATATCTGCCAGTTACCATTTACAGCAGCAGCTCGAAACTCAACCCAACCAGAAAGAAGGCAGAAACCAATGAAACCATCTCCTGCAAGCAAACGCCAAATGATCTGCCTCCCCGAGAGCTGGGGGGCCCCAGAGACAGCAGGGCGGGAGCAAAGCAGACCATCTGTGCGGCAGGCAGGGTGCGGGCAGAGACTCACGCCCCCCACCAGCAGGGACAAACAGCACAGGGAACTGCTACCCCCAGCCCAAACGCTGGCCTGGTTCTGGGGTCAGAGAGGCAGGCACTCACACCATCGTCCTTATTCCCCATTTCCTCGGGGGAGGGGGGAACCTGTTTAATCTTCCTAAAATGGGAGTTCTGGCCACAACACGCCCTTTGTTGTTGCTGCTTGTTATCTTCGGAGTGTAGGGAATGGATAATCCCTTAACGGAACTGTGCTTTGCCTGGAAAACGCTCCATATTCTGAGGAACAAAACAGGTGGACAGTGGGGAGGCAGGGGTTTGTGGGCTCACATCGGATTATTCCATTCACTAAACCTTTTGCAAAGAAACACCGAGGGCTGAACACATTTATACCACAGTGTAAATTCAGGGAGTTAATTTTAGCTCTGATTTTGTTTTTGTAGGGCTGGTTTTGAGTGGCTGCTGAGGTCATTCTCAGGGTGGTGCTATGGGGACAGGCGCAAGGTCCATTTCCAAGGCAATGGATGTGTGACAAGTCGCTGGCACAGCATTCTCCAGGGTCAGGAAAAGCTCCGTCGTATCATACACGAGATTTATCGAACTGCTCAGAGACGAGACACAGTGAAAGGTCCACTAGAAACTAATTTAGCTGGTTAAAATCACCTCCCTCTCCCTCTTTCCACTCACAGGGATGAAATATCTTGCCATGGCTTTGAGACATTTAATAATCGAGAACTTGACAGCTGATTTTAAAAAAGAATTTTTCCCCCTATATGTGATGGACCCTAACCACGCAGGGGTCCTTGAGTCTTGGCTGGTCCAGCAATATTCAGCTAGGGGCCAGATCAAAGCAAATACTTAACATGGGATCCAAATCAGAACTTTTATTTGGGGAGGGCGTGTGTGTTACTGTAGTGGTCCGAAGAGCAGCTTCTATACCTTGTAAGAGAACACAAAGGCTCTGAGATATTGTGACCTATCTTTACACAATTAGCTCTCTGGACTATTACGGGCCTGGGTTATGAAATAAGTAAATTTTGTGCTAAAATGCTTTTGATTAATACAAAGACAATGCAGAAAGGAAAAGCAGCATTTGTTTATCTAATAACGGTGCTTCCTGCTCTTCTTTAGGGCCTGGCTAAATTATGTAATGGATATTATGTGTTTATACCCATCATTCTGAAGTTGTTAGGCCTTGTAATCCCAATTCAGGGAAAACTGAGGGAGGAGTACTAGGGTAACTGACAAATTCTGACACATCTGCTTTAATGGAACAAAGAGAACGCTGAA